TCTAGTGGCTGCTCAGAGTGACTCACACGTCATTTAAAAAAAAAAAATGATGTCACAGGACCTACTTCTCTTTTACAACAAAAAGCAGAATGAAGTACATCTGTAATTTAAGGCTCAGTAAGAACATTGTGACCTGATGACAAAGTCAGTCAGAGGAAGTCCAATCAACATGCCCCAGTCTGGTAACCCCAAAGTGTTTCACTGATGGTGAGAGAATCACATGATCTCAACCCTAAATTGGGCTGGATTTTAATTATTTATGGCTCTGTATTTTATAATACACTAGTTTATGCTTTAAGGTAGTAGTAGTTGCAAGCAAGTTGATCTTGGACTACAGGTAATCCTAGACCTAACTAAAGTTTCAGGCTACATAAAAGGAGCAATTTAGTCTCTTTATGGAGACAACTGAAACAACTGCCCAAGGCAGTTAGCTGTAGAGTAGAGTTGGACTAGAATTAAACCATACGCCCCAAGAGGTTTCCATATAACTAATGTAAAGGTAGGGAACATGGGGACTGTTTCGCAAACTGTGCATCCTGGAAACAGAAGACAGCTAGAATATCAGCAGACAGCGAGAAAAACACGTATGAGACTTGTCCTGAAGAGCAGGACAGACAAACCTGTAGAGGAAAAGGAATCGCTTGAAAGAACGGCTTTGAAACCATGCAAAAAGAAATTGCCAGTGTTTGCCTGTTTCTACTCTGATCTGGAAAACAAGGATGTGCTTGCAGTTTTGTAACTAATTGTCTTGCATCAGGCCTGATTTGTATAGTAAATTTCTCCCACCAAGACAGTCAAGGCTTCAAATACTAAATAATTGTTCTGTGGCAATAAACCAGATTATTTCAATAATTAAAAAAAAACCAAACAACTTTTGTTTCTTTTACAGGTATCTCAGATGAATTCATAACTCCCATGTTTAATTTTTATAAAAGCATTGGAGAGCTGAAGATGACACAGGAAGAGTACGCGCTGCTCACAGCCATAGTTATCCTGTCTCCAGGTAACTTCTCATCCAGAATCAAATATTAGTGGTTTTGGAAAGAAAGCATGAGGAGTGTGAGCTGAGACTTGTAAAAACTTACATTCTACAGAGAGTAAGTGAGCATACTTATTCATACTTATTCATATGCTTATTCAGTATATTCCGGTTTTAAACCAGAAAACAAGCACACAAATACAATCTCCAAATGTCCTGCTAGACCATCTGGTTTTGCATACAAGCGAAAAAAGTGCCCAAATACCGTGCTTAAAAAAATTACTGGTATTTCTTCACTGCTTAGCACAACAGGTTTCTTCCTTCAGAAAATCCTAGATGTGGTTACATGCACATCACTACAGACCATTGAGGAATGTCGCATTTTTTAGAGGGAAATTGGGAAATGCTATAACTTAGAATAGAGAATGGCAATGAAGGTCGTCTTTTTTAGCAAACACCTGCTGTCAAGAGCAGAAGGACAATAGTAAGTTGTCCTCTTGACTACAAAGTGTTGGAAAGTGACCTTTCAGAAATATCGGCACAATAGTATCTCAGCCTTGATTACAGGCTTTGCTGTATAAACTCATTCTTTGACAACACAAAACTAGCCAGCTCTACCTACAAAATACAGAGAAATTGTATAGTGCCTCAAACAAACTGACTATCATAGGAATGGGAGAAGAGAAGCCTGATGCTTCAGGACAGAAGACAGACACTGAGGTTTCCAAATCAGGTTTCATGGATGATGGGAAAGTGAAGCAATTCCATCACTCTTTGAGTCAGTGTGGCTCAGGAAATAAAACCCCATCCTCCTCTTTTCCTCCCTCTCCAAATAGTCAAACTTCCATATGATCAAAATAAAAACACAAGTATTTTCTAACAAAGAAATTTCATCTGAGGATGAAGATGTTTGATTTCTCACTGGTGACCTGCATGTGCACTCTTCTCTACTGGCCAAATTCCCCACTTGTACTACACCTCCAAGAACTTATGCCATGCTGCTCAGTTGTTGCAATGCATCGCAGGACATACTCAGGTGCAGAATTTCATTGGGAGATGATGATACAACCCCAGAGAAACATTTCCAAGTTAAAACTCTTCAGTTTTTATAAAAGTTGAAAGTTTTCCCTAACTAGAAGCGGGAAGCTTACACGAAAAACCCAAACCAAAAATATGATGTTAAGCATATTCATTCCCTCTTAATTTGAAAATAAATATTCTTGGTAGGTGCAAACATCAGTGCCCAGTGTAAATATTTAAATATTTTTATATTCAATTATCAATGTAAATATTTATATTGTAACAGAGTGTATATTTGGTAATTACTTCTTTTCTTTTAAAACCATAACCAGATCGACAATACATAAAGGACAGAGAGTCCGTGGAAAGGCTTCAAGAACCCCTGCTGGATATTCTACAAAAATTCTGCAAACTTCACCACCCAGATAACCCTCAACACTTTGCATGTCTTCTAGGCCGTCTTACAGAATTACGGACATTTAACCATCATCATGCTGAGATGCTGATGTCATGGAGAGTGAATGATCACAAATTCACACCTCTTCTCTGTGAGATCTGGGATGTGCAGTGATGGATACCATTTATTTTATTTTAGGAGAAATATCTTTTTAAAGGACCACATAGCATTTATTTTCATAGAAAAACATCCCAAAGTACATTGAATTTTCTTTACTGCATTTTTATAGAAACATGTCATGGATTCATAAAACTCATTTTGTTCACTATACATAGAATATTGTATAGCTATCAGATCTTCACATCGGAGTATAACTTTCTCTGTATTTATATTCTCTGATCAGAAAGAATCCACCAGCTCCCCAGAGGAAACCTGTTAATTCGTGCTACAATTAAGCTAATTGCAGCTACAGTTCCTCTTGACAAATAGGGAAATGCAGGTTTCCATTCATATTTTTTCATTGCAGTGTTTTTGTGCTTGGCCTTCACTAAAGAATATATTCTAGACATTTATGGTAATAAACCAGATGAAATGGTTAATGCCATAGTCATTTGCTGTTCAACTTGAAATGTATTCAAGTAAGATGTGCAAGACATTATCTCTTCAGAAGATGAAAAATTATGTAACGGAGAAAAGCCACACACACACCGAGAAACCTCTTTTCATGATATAAATATGTAACTTCATTTGCATTATTATTTCAAAGTAAAAATTATACAGTATCTATACTTCGTGAAAGTGCATCACAGGTTATTTTGCTTTATGACTTAGACTGGTGGTGCTTAGTGGCTCTGAAAAAGACCATCGGCACCATCTCTGAGAAAGGCAAGTGTGTCCAAATGCTGGGTGAGGCGGTGGCGGCTCCCTGATGCTCACGGGGGCTGTAGGCAGGGTGGGTGGTTTCCTTGCGCCTGGGTCCGCTCCCAGCACGGTGAAAACCAGGCAGGTGAGACACTGACGTGCCCACCGCCTGTCCTCCAAACC